CAGGAAACAAACCCAAAGGGAATGCATGCAGCAACGATAATAATAAAAAACGAAACACAAAACCCTACACGCATACACACACATCATATACACCCTAAACCCTAAACCCTAAACCCTAAACCCTAATTACCTGGGGCGCCGCGCTGCCCACTGCATGCGCCCTAAACCCTAACCCTAAACCCTAAACCCTAAACCCTAAACCCTAAACCCTAATTACCTGGGGCGCCGTGCCGCCCATTGCATGCTCCCTAAACCCTCACTCTAAACCCCAAACCCTAAACCCTAAACCCTAATTACCTGGGGCGCCGTGCTGCCCACTGCATGCGCAATGCCCCCCAAACCCTAACCCTAAACCCTAAACCCTAAACCCTAAACCCTAGTTACCTGGGGCGCCGTGCTGCCCATTGCATGCGCAATGCCCCCCAAACCCCAACCCTAAACCCTAAACCCTAAACCCTAAACCCTAAACCCTAAACCCTAAACCCTAAACCCTAAACCCTCCCTAAACCCTAAACCCTAAACCCTAAACCCTAAACCCTAAACCCTAAACCCTAAACCCTAAACCCTAAAACTAAACCCTAAACCCTAAACCCTAAACCCTAAACCCTAAACCCTAAACCCTAAACCCTAAACCCTAAACAACCCTAAACCCTAAACCCTAAACCCTAAACCCTAAACCCTAAACCCTAAACCCTAAACCCTAAACCCTAATTACCTGGGGCGCCGTGCTGCCCATTGCATGCGCAATGCTGCCTTGTAGTTCTTCTGTGAGGGTTTGAAAAAATAAAGTTGTTAGGGGGCTTCGTCTGTTTAGCTGCTTGAGCTGCACGCAAACCCTAAACCCTAAACCCTAAACCCTAAACCCTAAACCCTTTATAAACCCTTATAAACTCTATACCCTGGACCGTAGGCTGTAAGAGAGAGAAAAGGCAGATAGAAGCAAGGGAAATGCAGCTGAGGGTTTAGGGTTTATAGCGCCATCTTTGTTGCTGTTCTTCTTTCTAGGGTTTAGGGTTTATGAGGGTTTAGGATTGATTTAGGGTTTAGGGTTTATTAGGGTTTAGAGTTTCTTATGTTTTGGGGTTTAATATAATTTCGGGTTTATTAGGGTTTAGGGTTTACGAATGTTTTAGGGTTTATAAACTAGGGTTTAGGGTTTAGGGTTTATAAACTAGGGTTTAGGGTTTAGGGTTTAGGGTTTAGGGTTTACATCTGCACACTGCATGAGCAGTGCTGCTAGACCATATACAGCAGCAACATCAGCAGGAGTAGTAGTATGAGAGACAAAATAATTATTTTTATTTTTATTATTTTTATTATTTTTATTTTTTTTTATTTTTTTTATTTTTGTTGTTTCTTTATTCGCCTCAATGATGCAGCAAGGAGCAGCTAAAGAAGGGGGCTGCAGCAGCCGCACGCGCTGCTGCAGCTGCTGCAGCAGCAGCACACTTTCCCTCATCCTCCTGCTGCTGCTGCTGCTGCTGCTGCTGCTGCAGTTGCTGCTGCTGCTGCTGCTGCTGCTGCTGTTATCTGTCTCTATCACCCCTGCTGCTGCTGCTGTTTCCGCTCCCCCCCCTCCCCCACAACCACCACCACCACCACCACCACCAGCAGCAGCAGCAGGAGCAGCANAGCAGCAGCAGCAGCAGCAGCAGGAATAGAGAGAGCCTGATTAAGAATATCTACAGCAGGAGGCAATGGGGGAGAAGTATCGTAGCCGTTGGGGTTTGCTGCTGCTCCTACTTTGGTTGAGAAACAACCAAAAGCTACAAAACAACAAAGACGAAACAACTCGTGCAGGTCACGACGCACCTGCATATACACCCCAAATGCATGCAACATATAGCTGCATATACACCCCAAATAGCTGCACATACACCCCAAATATACACAGCAAGTAGCTGCGTATACACCCCAAATACATGCAACAAATAGCTGCATATACACCCCAAATACATGCAACAAAGAGCTGCGTATACACCCCAAATAGCTGCATATACACCCCAAATACATGCAACTAATAGCTGCGTATACACCCCAAATATACACAACAAACAGCTGCATATACACCCCAAATAGCTGCGTATACACCCCAAACCCTGAAAATATAAGTATCTGTATTTGTGTGTGTATAGAGAGGGTTTACATGTGTTGCTAGCGAGGGTTTAGGGTTTGCATAAAGAGGGTTTATTTAAGCAGTGTGTGTGTGTGTATGAGGGTTTGTTCTGTTGCATATTGCGTATTGAGGGTTTAGGGTTTAGGGTTTAGGGTTTACGTGTGTGTGTGTGTGTATTACGTATGAGGGTTTGTTTTGTTGCGTATTGCATGTGTTGCATGTCTAGGGTTTAGGGTTTAGGGTTTAGGGTTTAGGGTTTAGGGTTTACGCGTTTGCAAGCTAAGAAAAGTTCTTTTGCGGGTTTAGCTCTATCCAAAACAAAAACAACAGAGAACAACCACAAAACAGAAAGGGGCTGGCGGGGTGAGGAGACAGAAAGAGAGACAATACGCCCAATCAGTCTCCATACTAACTCTATATCATCCTCGCTGCTGCTGCTGCTGCTGCTGCTGCTGCTGCTGCTGCTGCTGCTGCTGTTGCAGGCGGTGGCGTTGGTTGTGCTGTTGTAGGAAGCTTCTGCTGCTCCTGCTGCTGCTGCTGCTGCTGCTGCTGTTGCTGCTGCTGGTCCGAAGGGTGTGTATTGCTGCTGCTGCTGCAGC